GGATAGGAAGTGACTAGCATGCTCTTTAGGGTAAATCCTTCCCCACTGGGTTAGCAGAGAGGGATCTTTACCCACAAAATCACCTGTGTAGGGAAAATTTTTACTTACTAGATTAGCTGTCTAGGGGACTTCACCCATTGAATTAGCTGTTTAGGCGGTTTACCTAATGGGACAGCTGCTTAGGGAGAGTTTTTACCCAGTAGGTTAGCTGTTCAGGGAATTTTTACCTAACCGGGTAAGAGGGGCATTACAATATTCTATAATTCATATTTTGCATCCAACTCGTACAACGCCTAAACTGCGGAAAACTCGTACTAAGGACCCATAATTCACCCATTTACCTTACAATCTGAAGTGGAGCGGCGCCGAGGCATATTATCCCCTTCTGAAATGAGATATCCTATGGACTATACGCTTCCTTCTCAGCTTTCCCTCTTTTTTTTCTTCACATTTTACTTCCTATGCGACTTGTACACACTAAAGCGCTGCATATAACTAGTCCACTCGCAAAAAAACGTCTGGACCAGAACTAGTTTCCCCAAGCTTATAGAAGTGGAAATGAGCGGAACGTCTTTTGCGGATAGTAAAAGTAGTTACGGAGAGAAAAACTACGCTGGAACAAACCTTAGAAACCGGAAGCTACGAGGAACTGTCAGATTTGTGGATTTATCCATTAGCTTCGTGGAAGATTCTGGTTTGAAATGGGGTGTCGATGTGATAGGAAGCTGTGAGATTGGAAAGAAATGGAATAAGGTGCGAATTTCAAAAGATACTGGACTGGATTTAGCTTCTCGATCATTCAAATCAAAGGGGCTTAAGTCGGGTTTTTGCTTGAAATCCCTTCCTTTATTTCGTATTAGCAATAAAGTACAAATGAACTTCAGTAATATTATATAATTCCAAATTTGCTTTTACTCATATCGAGTATTGATCAGTGCTTGAAATCCACAAAATAAGATGGAAAATAAAAAACTAAACAGTTCCGTACATTTTTTGCTTGGCTAAATAAGGAGCTCAAAAGAGCAGAACTTGCGTGAACTTTGGCGTGAAACGTGAAGGGTGCAAGTAAGAAGGGGGGAAGGGGAGTAAAAAATGTTTGGGATTTTAGCCACGGATGACGGGGATAATCTCTGAATTTCCCGTGACATTATTATTCAAGATCTTGAAATATCTTTGCTAAATTTTCGGGATTTTTTTATCTTGCATGTTTTTCATAATCATCTTGTCTTAGTACATATAGCGATACCCGTCCTGAAAAAAGCCGTTTTCCCTCTTTAAACCAGTTTATGATTCTTACTTAGCTGATTAATTTGCCGGTGGGCTAAGTTTGTGGTTCTCGGTGTTTTTGTAATTGTAATTCTTCCTAATCTGATGTTTAAACTCGTCCACAAGCAAGTAATCACTCCATAAAGAAGCTTTTTTTAGTTTAGCTGTTACTTTTATCTAGAAGTGCACAGATCTATTTTTGCTACGAAACCAGTTCCATAAGCCCCGTCTCGTTCCCTGCTTGGCTATAAGCCAAGATTAACCTTGTCAACTTGCCCAGTGTCTCAAAGAAGCGGAAGACGCACAGCTGAGAGAGCATAGCAGCAGCTCATTACCTCATCGGGGGCAATTAGCCACCGCGGGGGTTGCGGGGAAGTTTGCGCTCTCCAAAAGTCTGCGCGCAAGTCGGCAGCATTAAAGGCAGTGTTTGACTCGCGGATTATCCCTGCTTCGGGACTACTCAGACCGCACTTGAGGGTGCCATCTACAAGAGCCTCAGCCAGCCTGAAAACCATGCCGACAGCGGATCAGATCTAGGTAAGCTGCTCTGGCAAACATCCGTGAGCGCCTTGTAAGGAGATTGGGAGTTGCGCCCCGTCTGTCACATCCTTTTTAGCGCGTGGGGATTTTTTTGCTCCGGTAAAAAGTGCAGTGTTTATGGATACTCTAGCACCATTCACGAAGTTGTTTGTATGAGGAGTGTGAAATCTG